ATGCTGAAGTGGCTTGTTCTATCGCGTGGTGTGAGATCTCGGGCTCTTCTTTGCCCGAGATCCTCTTCACCGCTGACCACGCCTGACACTGCAGATACTCAGAACAATACTATATCAAAGTTTTTGGAACTCCCGCTAATCAACTGTTTTAACAGAGAAGCTGCGGTAGGCTGCCACAGGTCAGAACTGTTTGAATTTTCTGGTTGCTCTAAGAAACTCCTTGTATTTTTAGAGATCCGAAGCCCGTTTATGGCTGCGAGCCGACCCTGCAGCTTTACTGAGCATTGATTGCCTTGCAGCAACTCGCATAATACAGCTAAATGTTGGGGGATTCTCAGCAGGGCCAATCAGTAGTAGGGGTAGAGCAAGAAAAGTGGATTTCTACTTTCTCTATGAAAAAAGAATATCTCTTTTTTTTTTTTTAAAAACACTTTAAAAGAAATATTAAAACCAAATCAAGTCCCTTTTTCTCTCCTTATAATCCTCAACCGGTATTTGCTCTATGGCGGCATTGGCAAGTAACAGCTACACCCTTTACTTACACACACTTGTATTAGGGCTCATGCACATGGCAGTAGATGGTGGTATAGCATGCAAAACAGCCATATTTTCTCTGATATGAATGAAAGGTGCAGTGTAGAGCCCTCGCCAGTTAGCCTGTACAAATTAACGCCCGGCGATGGCTACACACACATATATATGGGAATCCAAGAGGCTGTATCGGCAGACTGTCTACATTCAGGAAGGCACAATACACCCCGGCATGCATGTAGCTCAGATTAGCGTATATTTGTGTCTATATAGTCACCTGCCATTGATTTGTACAGGCTCGTTAGCGGTGGCTGTATGCTGCACCTGTCAATCCTAGTACAGAGATCCGCTCGTATTGTATGCTATACAGACATTTCCTGCCGTGTACATGAGTCCATCCAGAGAAAGAGAGGGGTGTGTCTGAGCAATGTCTGTTGGGTTACAGAGTGCACTTGGCAACGTGATCAAATTCTAGTGCCAACTAGTCATATGCAGACACATGACGGTTGTTATATAGACATTGTACTGACTTAATATCCATCTGTAACTTCAATTGCGCTGCAATAGTCGCCCTCTCATTCTAAAAATGCGAGTTGCCTCTGTCTGCCTGATATTTCAAGTGGCTCAGTCCTTAGAAATAAAACAAAAAAACTAAGATCTCCCTATAAAACAAAAAGTAATACTTACCTATTCTGCTGCCCATGCCACCAAGTCCTACTTTGCAGGGGAGACCTTAGCTTCAAGTTTTATTTTACTGACAGAGCACCTCTCAGCTTCAATACTTTCTGAGTGACTGGTTCAGAACAAGACTGCTGATAAGGAATTCGGATTTTTATCTGCAGCTTGCTTCTTCTGGGTCTGTGAAGTGCAGCCAGACATGGAAGAGGCCAGAAGTGGCCACGTTTCTCCTGTCACATGTCTTTCAACAGTCCCGAAACCTATAAATATATGCATGATGGCTTAAGTGGAACTTAAAGGAGAACTATGAGGCGAGTTCTTTTCACTCACCTCATAGTTCTAGCCGACCTGTGACAATGAGACTGTGACAATGAGACCAGGCTGTCATGGAGGGGGGGTCAGATTATTCAACCTCAAATACTATGTAACTATGTAACAGGTCGGCTCAGTAGATTGGGAAGTGAGCGAACACATACCGGCATTCGATCACTTCTCGATCCTGTCACGGCTCTCTGCCGTGACAGGGGAGAGGCTGGATTCCCCCCTCCCCGATCCACCAGCGCGGACTGGGGAGGGGGCGGGTACAGCTGGCTCTGTCTCTAGATAGGCAGAGCCAGCTGTCACTCACGCAGCTGGGCGGATCTCGACATTGATGTCGGGATCCGCTCCGGCGTCTCAGTATACCGCGAGCTGTAGCTCACAATATACTGAGCTTAGGGTGACGGGAGGACGCTAGTTTGTGTCCTCCCGTTACCCTAAGGAGAACTATGGGGAAAAGCCCTGACCCCATAGTTCTCCTTTAAGCTTGGTAGGCGCAGGAGCATTTGCCGTGAAGTGCAGGTCATTGCACATTATGGCAAACGTACCCCTGAGTTTGACCTTTTCTGGCTGTGTTCTCCCTCATCGCTTCTTCTGCATCCAACATCTTCCTTCTTTCACCACTGGGCACCCACTGATGATGTAACTCCCATGCATGCATGTTAAAGTTACATTTTTCCCTGCAGGCAATGTGCACAAAAGTCTTTTCTACCCAAAAACTCCACCCAGTAGCAACCTTTTTTTAAACTTTGGTTCTGCTTTCTTAAAAAGAAACCATGGGCCAACTTTTTTTTGCCATAGTTCTCTTTAGGGTCACAGGAGGACATATACCAATGTCCTCCTGTGACCCAAAACTCAGCATATAGCAGGCTATTGCCTGCTATATGCTGACAGAGCAGAGCCGCATTGCAGCTGGGAAAGATACAGACAATATTGCTGGAATCCACCCCGCTGCCTGATTGGCAGCATGCATCGAGGCAGAGCCAGCTGTGCCTACCCCCCCAGACCATTCCTCCAGTCAGCTCTGGAGGAACGGAGGGGGATCCCTGCGGGCAGCAGGGACTGACAGTCGCCACTCTCTGCAGGGAGATGACCAAGAACTGAGCGATCGCCGGTATGTAATCGCTCAGTTCCCGATCAATAGAGCCGACGTGTGACAGTTTCAGTGTCACACGTCGGCTCTAATTATGGGGATGATTATATATAACACCCCATAATTATCCTTTCATCAACACAGCAGCATAAGTAAAGCAAGGGAAATAACAGCTGTTCATGTAAGCCCATTCAGTGAGATCCATCCGTACAAGGGGAGTGGGAAATGTATGCTTCATAGGGCTGTGGCCAGAGCCAGTGCTCTGCCAAAGAGGGCACCAGCTGTTACTATGAGGGTAGAGGAAATCATGCCTGCTTACATTATGCTGCAAAGGCACAGACATTAAAGGTTGCATGTTCTTGAATACAAGAAGAAAAGCTGTGCGACTTGTCTAGCCCCCAGTGTATAAAGCCACGGTGCCCAGTGTGTGGCCCTTGGGGCCCATGAAGTCAGTAGTCTGTTTCCCACCACAAGATGCTTACTACGGCCAGTAAAAGAAAAATATTCTAGACCGGCTTCTAGTAGTTAAATGGCTTGGAATGTTTTCTTTCGTACTATCTTACCTTTTCTGTGCTGTCCATCTCTTTCCTCCTGTTATGTTTTTTTATTCTCGGAACTTAAATAATGGATATTGCTGAGATAACTATCGAATGTGGCACCGGACATGTTTAAGGGGGCTGTAAGCAGCACACATGTGGAATTCTTGTAAAGGGATTATAGTAGCAGTGAGCTATTACAAAACCTTGGCATAAGGAAATAATGGTTCAGAAAACCAGTTAGTATTTGAGGATGATGATGCAAGAGTGCAACTAATTTTACTTGACATGCAAAGCACCAAATGTCAGTGTGACCCTTCACATTCCTCAACAACCGCCAGTCTTAGCTTATCTAGCTTATCAGTCAATGACGGTCCAGTTCTATAACACGTTAACAGCCTCTGATTATCTTCAATCTCTGACCGCCTCCTGTTCCCGTCTGCAATCTCTGACCGCCTCCTGTTCCCGTCTGCAATCTCTGACCGCCTCCTGTTCCCGTCTGCAATCTCTGACCGCCTCCTGTTCCCGTCTGCAATCTCTGACCGCCTCCTGTTCCTGTCTGCAATCTCTGACCGCCTCCTGTTCCCGTCTGCAATCTCTGACCGCCTCCTGTTCCCGTATGCAATCTCTGACCGCCTCCTGTTCCTGTCCGCAATCTCTGACCGCCTCCTGTTCCTGTCTGCAATCTCTGACCGCCTCCTGTTCCTGTATGCAATCTCTGACCGTCTCCTGTTCCCGTCTGCAATCTCTGACCGCCTCCTGTTCCTGTCTGCAATCTCTGACCTCCTCCTGTTCCTGTCTGCCGCATCCAACACCTTTATGAAACATTACATTCACTGAATTTAATCTGTGACCCATTGGTAATGTCAGGGGCCGCACCTGAGGACCCCTATTTTAAGAAAGGTATCCACTACTGGTGCAGAGCCTAGTGACTGGGCCTTTTACCTGTGCCTCTCTGATGCATTTTCTCCTAGCACAGCCATTACCAGATACATGTCCCTGAATACAGGTAAAAAAAACTTGTATGTTTGCCTGGCAGGCGGGTCCTCAGTGTTTAAAGCATAGTCACTGGGGCCTGTACCCCCTATGTATAGCATGCTCCTCTAGCACAGTAATTACCAGCTGTATGTACCAGAATACAGGAAGGATATATGTAATATAGAACAATTTAGGCCCTAGTGTATGTTATTCTTCTATACCACAGCCATTACCAGCTGCATGTCCCTGGATACAGGTAGAAAACAAGTATGTCTGCCTCGCAGGCAGGCCCCCCCAGTATATAAAGCCTTGTCACTGGCCCCTGTACCGCCTATCTATGGAATTTTCCTCTAGCATATCCATTACCAGCTGCGTGTCCCTGAATAAACATGTATGTCTGCCTGGCAGGCAGGCCCCCGTGTATACAGCCTAGTCACTGGGCCCTGTCCTGCCTCTCTGCTTTATTCTCCTGTTACACAGCCATTACCAGCTGCATATTCCTGAATACAGGATGGATCTATGTAATGCAGAACCCCGGTGTATGTCATTCTCAGCAGTCTGTTCCTGAGTAGCTGAAGGGTACATGTATGTCTGCCTGGCAGTACTGCAGCACATATTAGGCCCCCAGTGTATAAAGCCTAGTCACTGGGCCCTGTGCCGCCTATCTATGGCATTCTCCTCTAGCACAGCCAGCTCCTGTCAGCCATGTAGACGAGTGATGGCAGCATCCCCGGGGAATGCAGAACTCCCTGCAATGCACGCCTCTCCCTGTATTCTGCACTGAGTGAATGGAAGCCGCACTTCCCAGGGTACGAGCCTCATCATCATGGCCGAGCCTACCCACAATCCAGCTCCCCTGCACTCACAAAATTGTCCCCGCAGCCGTTGTCCGGGCACAGCACGTAGAACGAGACCCCGGGGTCGGCGTAGAAATCCATCCTCCTCTCCGTCTCCTCGGTGGCGATGAGGTCGAAAGGAGTGTTGGAGCACCATTTGTCCGCGACGTCCGCCAGCTGCTGGAAATCCATGGTGGCCCACGATCTGCTGAGATCCCCAGCTGACAGTCTATGTTTGCATTGTTTACATGCTGCTCATGAAGCGGACGGGGGGGCTGCAGGGAAAGGCCACGGCTATGCAGCGGATGCTCGGGTATTGTTTGTCGCCCCGGCCGCCCCAAACACAGCTGCGGGTTGGGCTGCTGCCGTGTGACGCGGACGATGCAGCTCGGTGACGTCACGGCAAGCCCTGCCTTGACAGCAGCTAGGGTGGTAGTCGTCGTGACGTCACCGAGGCGGCGCCCAACCAGGTTCTCCTGTGAGAGATGGGAGCCTGGGAAAAGCTAGCTCTGCTCCCTCTGCAGCATCCTTCGGGTTATAACCTGGCAGAGGATGGCAGCTGTGCGCAGTCTCCCACCTACATTGCCTTCCACCGCTGAGGAGGAGACCCAACCAGGCAGATGTGCTCTTCTAGAAAGGTCTGTCTGATACAATGCTAGGCAACCTGGGGTAGAACTACAAATCCAGGCATGCCTCTGCAAATCATACCTGTAACTGTCAGAGTGTTGCAGTGTCTCATGGGATTTGTAGTTCTGCAACAGCTTGAATGTTGAGGTTGCCTACCCCTAATATATTAATAGATCATATGTACCAGATACAAATATACCACCATAGATGGGTTATTGCACACACCATAAGGGGTAAAAAAAAAAAATCAAACCTATTTTTATTATTACCAGTTTATCAGAATGAAATCCACTGAGCACACCCAGAGCCACACCTACATTTTAACCACTCCCATGCGTAGCCACTCCCACACAAAGTCACGCAGAACACACATTCCAACATAGTGACAACATTTGATCGCACAATCAAATGTTGTGACTACGTTGGAATGTGTGACCAGTCACGTGGTCACACATTTTAACGCAATCACGCCCATTTTTTCTGCGGTAAAATATGTGACCGGCAAAAGGTGAAGAATTCCAACGCTTTCTCAGCTGTTCCAGGGCAGATCGGCATTGCAGATCGTATGTGCAGGAGAACCGATCTGCCCTGGAACATCTGATCGGTCCTGAAATGTCACTTCTATCCGACTTTCTGGAATGTCAGATCGTACTCACAAAGTCGGATAGAAGTGACATATCAGGACCTTTTGCCGGTCACATATTTTACAGCAGAAAAAATGGGTGTGATTACGTTAAAATGTGTGACCGGTCACACATTTCAACCCAGTCACAATCTTTGATAAAACAAGGGCAGATCGGCTCACTGCGCATGTGCAGGAGAACCGATCTGCATTACCCCATCTGCCTGGAACAGCTGATTGGTCCTCACATGTCACTTCTATCGGACTTTGTGAGTACGGTGGAATGTGAGATCGCACTTACAACGTTGGATAGAAGGGACATTTGAGGACCGATCAGCTGTTCCAGGCAGATGGGGTAATGCAGATCGGTTTTCCTGCACATGCCACCTGCCCTGGAACAGCTGACAAAGCATTGGAATGTTTGACCTAATGGGCGGTCACACATTCCAGCGCTGTAAAACTGGGTGGGATTACGTTACCGGTGTGACCACGTCACCGGTCACACATTCCAACGTAGTCACAACATTTGATAGAACAGAGGTCACATTTAGCCACTGCCACAAATCGCACCCAATTTATAAACATAAAATACAAAAAATTTCAAATAAAAGGCAGCGAGATTGGCATATTGTGTCCAGAAAGAATACACGTACAGCAGGGCAATGCAAAGAAACGGCCATGACAAGCCTCCTTCTCATACACAACGTGACTCTGACTCCAGATTGGACAGTAGGATAATCACAACAGTAGGCACATTTCTAAGGGAAACGTTCCTAGCGACATTGTGAACTCTGACACCAAGGTACAGCAGTGCTTGGTCACATCTCAATGTTTGTAAATTCCCATGGAACAATATGAACTGCAGGGAAAAACAACATGTATTAACCCCTGAAGTGTAGCTACTCCCACACTGCAAGGGTTAACTGCTCATTTGTGTCTAGGGACTAAAAAATAAAGGTTATACTCACCCTATTATTTGTGCCGGCTTGTTCTTAGACCAGGTCCTAGAGCCTCTCTCCCCCTCCTCTGCAGCGGTTTAAGAATCCTTATGTCATCGCGTTCTATACAAGTGTACAGACATGAGGACGCTGAGGAGGAGACAGACTTCAGTGACCCGAGAAGCAGAGAGTCGGCTTGGCAGTTCCGCTGAGTGGAACTTTTTTTTTCTTAGCAAAGCATAGCAGTTAACCCTTGCTACCCCTGCACTGCAAGCAGGGCCGGATTTACTCTCTCTGCTGCCCCAAAGCCAGGTTCCTCAATACGCCCCCCTACCCGCTAAACCCCGCCCCATGGAGAATGGCAGATCTGCAGGCTGCATACAAGTGATCTCGGCGACATCGCCGGGATCCCTAGTACAAAACAAGAGTCGGCTTCTCCGCTCTACATTTAGCTCTGCTTGCCCAAATCAGGACTAAATGTAGAAAATAAACTTCCCGCCCAGCGGCCGGAACTGCATGTCCCGGGCATCAGGCGATAGGAATTCCACACCCCCTGCTGCCCCTCTACATCTTGCTGCCCCATGGCCAGGCCTTGGTTAGCCTTGTGGGAAATCCGGCCCTGACTACAAGTGTTCATAAAATGTTCCCCCGGAGTTCTTCTTGAATGTACAATGAACCAAAGCACTTTACAACATCTTCAAAAGAAGCAGAATTGTTCTGACCACCAGCCCTGGATTCACAAATCAAATTGCAAAATATTTGTCAAAAGTGTAAGAGTAAGGGAGTGTAAATGTTTGTTTGCTCAGTTAGGAACAAGTGTCAGTGCCATATAAATTCCCAAGCAAGTACACAACTGAGCACCTCCTCCCACTGGGACAGGCAACACATCATTCAGAAGTCGGCCTTCTGTCCAATGGGTCAGTATGGGGACATCCTGCAGAAGACAGACACAGACTAGAGATATGTTTCAGGAGACCACCATAGACTGAGGACACATTGGGCCAGATAAACTAAGATTGGCGGTTGTTGAGGAATATGAAGGGTCACACTGACATTTTAAATAAACTACTTCATAATATATTTTAGAAAGATGAACCACCTCACCCAGGGTACCACATCCAAAATATAATACATACTTCACACAGATTTCTGAGTTTTAAAGCCCATTTCCACCTTTGCTGAGGTTTTTTTTTTTTTAAAAACATATGCCAGCAATGTACACCGAGTGGGCATGAAGCAGGCATATGCAATTGCTGTATATGAAAGCAGAAACATACATTTTTTGTCAGCTTTCCTCATTATATCCTCATGGAAATGGCTGCCTCTGTGCTTTGCAAGCAATGTGTCTGTATTACAAGTGATATCTCGATCCCCCAACCCCTATTCATTAGTATTCATAGTGGCATGAATACTGTGCAAAAGCTCTGCCTTTGCACACAATACACTGCCCCCCCCCCCCCCTCGCCGACG